CGCATCACAATTGCATATATTCACATAAATCATTTCTTATAGCTTTATTCATATCACATATTCATATAAGCTCATATCTTATTTCACATATACTTTCCATATAACTTATATATCTCATAATCACACAAATCATAACATTGATCACCAATCAAATAACATTTTAGGAGTTACTTCTTACCATAATAACTCCATCACTGGCTCATCGCAAGCCAAATGTTTATTCAATAATATAAGTACAAATTAAATTGCACTCACCTTAGCCTTGCTTTGATTCGATTATAATCCTTTGATTATTCCGAAACTTGTTTAGGCTCAATATCTACATAAATATATCATTTCAAAACAACTATCAGAAGCCTAAACTTTAAACTTGATGTTAATAACTTAAATCGGTTTAATGAATCAAATTCTATATTTTCATTTAGGGGGGAATCGATACCCCCCCAGGGGAATCGATACCCCCTGAACATACTGGAATTTTTCGTTCAAGAGGAGGAATCGATTCCCATTCATAGGGTATCGGTTCCCTCTACCCATAAATTGTATTTTAAGCTCGAAAATCATCAATTTTTCATTTAATTCTTCTATTTTAAACCCCTACCATGTCATTAAACTCAACTACCATTACTTAAACTAACTTATATCCATGAAAATCATCTATAACTTCAAAATCATATCCTTCATATGAAATTCAAAAATCATACTCAATTTTCCATATGTTCTAAATACAATTCTAACACTTCTATCTTCTTATTCTCATAGATGACAAGTCAAATTCAACTTAAAATTCAACTTATCAACTCTATTCCATGATTCCATATAAAAACTCATTTTCTTAAATCTCTTATAACTTCTTTATCTTTTGATTTTAGGACAACTTAAGCTCTCCATAAGCTTAAGTATTACCTAATGATCAAAACCCACTCTTAAAATTAACAAATAATCAGCTAACAAGGAATCTTACCTTTGCAAGCTTGGCTCTTTCTTTCTCTCGTACATGAAGAAGAAGAAGAAGAGAATATCTCTTCATCCTTATCCCCTCTAACATATATATCCTTATTATATTTATTTTTAATTCATTTATTAGTTAAATGACCATTTTGTCATCTACTTCATTTGATAATTACTAACAACTTTTAGGATTTATTTACAGATAAATCATTGACCTAATCCATTCTTCTACTTTAATCACCAAATTCTGAAACTTTACCATTTAGTCACTAACCCATAGTTTGGGATGTTACACTATCTCTCACCTAAACCCAAATCCAAACACACCTAAGCCTAAAGACCCACAACTCGTCCTAGATCTAGGGTTTTACCTTCGAAGAACAAAGCTTTTCGATGACGCTTGAAGAATCTGGTAACGGGCAAGGTAAGCTTCTCATTCATTCTCTCTTTCTTTTTCTTCCTTTTTCCTTTCGAAAAGTGCTATGAGTTTTCAAAAAGTCCTCATTTTTTGGTTGTGTTGTTTCTTAGATCCTCCCTCCGATTTTTGTTATGTTGCTATATATCATCGAAAAAATGGAGGATTTTTCCTTTTTCTTGCTTTTTTCATTTTCGATGTTGCATGCTTCTGGAAAGGGTTTGACCATTTGTTCCTTTTTTATTGTTTTGCTATTTTCGTGCTAGGGGTGTTGACCGAGGATGGTAGTTCGGCGGGGATAACGCACTGTCCCAAACGACGATGACGTGGGTTAAACATGGGGTAAAATGGTTTACTCGAGGCCTTTTTATCAGTTTTAAGGCGACCGACGGGTATCTTGGCGATAGTGACAATCCTCAAGACAGGGCAAGGAGTCACGGGTGGCTCTCGACCGGGCGGTGTGGCTGACGCGCAAGGAGCATCAGGTGCGTGGCGGCGATCTTAGTACGTGGAGGCTGTTGCTGATTAGGGTAAAACCCTAGCTTGGGTTAATCCGGACCGTTGGATCAAATATTGACCAACGGCTGAGATCCTTGGCGGTCGCTGGAAAAGGGGAACCTAGGGTTTCCTTTAAACCCAAGTAGCTTGGGTTTCCTTTAAACCCAAGTAGCTTGGGTTACATCTGGGTTTGGGCTTTGACCGCCATTTGGACCACCTCGGCTTTGGGTTTTGGCTACTGTTTGGGCCTGTAAAAATAAAATAAAATGTTAAATCTTTTTAAATTTCACCTTTTATATATATATATATATACACACGTATAATAATATATATATATTACTATATAGTATGCCGATCACACACACATAATTTAAATAATTAACCTAATATTCAAACTAATTAATAATATACACATATATATATATAAACACAAGCAAAAATCGAATGAAACCCCCGGACAAAACGAACTTCTACACTTTGAACTTTAGGTTCAAGATTTTATGTTTTGCTTCTATCATTGCTACTACTGTTTGATGATGTTGATGCAATTGGGTTTTGTTGAAGACCTTGATGATCATCTTGATTAATAAGAATGTAATCATCTTTATCTTCATTAAAAAAATACTCATTTAACTTTCTTTTCTTCTTTGTTCTGTCTCCATTAATTGGCCTCATCAAACTCGACATCTCTTGAAATTATTATATTCTCTGTGAGATGATTATATGACATGTAAGGTTTGCTTCTTTCATCATACTCGATGAAAATACATTTTTATCTCCTGTAATCGAGCTTTTTTCCGGTCTACTCAGGAATGTGGGCTTATACAATGCACCAAAAAAAATTTGAGGTTTCTTAACTCCCAATTTTTTATCGTTACATGCTTCATTTGGCGCCATATACTTCACACTATTGGTTGGACATCGATTTAATAGGTAAACTGCAAAACAAACATCTTCGGCCCAAAATATTCTCGATAGGTGCTTACCTTTTATCATGCTTCTTGCCATATCAAGGATTGTGTCGTTCTTTCTTTCTGAAACTCCATTTTGTTGAGGCGTGTATCTTACTGTCAGCTGATGGACGATGTCATGCTCTTTATAGAAGTTTTCAAAAAAATTTGATGTATATTCATCTCCTCTGTCGGATCTAAAGAATTTTCAAATATTGACCGCTTTTCTTTTTCGTCATTGTTTTGAAAATAGAATTGTTCTAAAAGAAAATAGATCTACTTTAAGTTTAAAAAATATAAGGCTTGTTCTCTAACTCATTTTACTAACTCATTTTATGAATTTCTTCGTGAATTTTAAACCTGCTGCTAAGGTAAAATTTATTAATGGAACAAAGTTGATTGATTCGACTATGGATGACTCATTCTTTCTAATTTGAACAAAATGTTTCTGTCGATAATGTATCAATCGTTCATCAATAATGTTTGTCATAAGAAGAAGAGAGAATGTGCCAAGACCCAGATCAAGGGGAGGGGGAAAAGGATTCTTTCTACCTGTTATGAGGATTTATATGCTACCTTTAGCATTTGGTGTTGGGTGTAAGACCATGATAACTATTCATGGACTAGTAGGATAGGTAAGCATGACTACTATATTTGACTTGTCAATTGATTTCGGTTTTGACAAATCACTCAAGGCATATTAGAGATTATGTCAGATCTCCTATGTCTCATGTCCGGAGACCTTTCTCTACGGGAACTTCCCTTTGAAAAATTACTCGAAAGTCTTGATATACGAAACATAAAAGATTCGAAAGTGATATAACATATTACATTTTTATCGTTTACATATATTTTTAATTAGACGATACTATTGTGTTTAAAGTCATAAACATGTAGGACATACTAACGTAATCAATGAAGTTTGAAGCCAAGACGGGGCAAAGGCAATTTGACCCCCGAGCTTCATTCATCTGCCTCGCCATTTCCTTCATTGCCAGCTTTTTGGAATATGAATTATGGCCTACCTTTATGAGTCAAGTCTACGTTCTTATTCCACTTTATCAATTTTTATCAATTAAAAGTCTAACTCAGTGACGATGTTTCTATCATGGATTTAAATAGCGTTCGCGGCCGCGTTTTCGGTCGCGTCACGTTTATCGCGGTTGTGGACATAACGGATGTCATCGCGGTCACTACGGGTGTCACGGTCGTGAATTTTCTTAAAGTTCTCACAACTTATCCTAAACTATAATAATTATAATTTTAAAGAATCATTTTAATGATTTTTAGAATGTTTTCTAAACGAAAATAACATATATATATATAATATAGTTTAATTAAATATTAAACTCAGTGATAGGATACGATAATTAATTAATAATAACATTGTGAATACATTATTATTTAAAAGAAATAAGACTATCAACATAGGAAAAACTCAAAAATAATAAAATATATAAAAATAAATTACCCGTTATTATTCACTTACCAAAATCAACATATTATAACTTAAAACTTATAAAATTAAAAATAACACATCATTTATTTTTAAAAAACCTATAACATAAGTAAAAAAATATCAAATCCAAAAAATAATTAATTTATTAGGTCTGTTTTTGTCCAAACCTATAACATTAAAAGTAAAAAATTACTTAACTTGTTATTAGACTTGTTTTGGTCCAAACCTAAAACATTAAAAGTAAAAAATAATTATTTAAAACATAAAATATAACTAAAAAATTATTAAATCCCTTTTTCTTCCTCTTCTTCTGTATCGTGAGTGAGAAGGGAGGCAGAAACGCAGAGCAAATATTGTGAAAAATAGAGATTTTTTTGTTAAAATTAGTCCCTTTTCTTCTTTATTTTTTCATGTTTTTAACTTTTCTTTGCTTGCTAGTTTGATTCCTACCAAAAATACCCAAAAAATCTTACTTTGTTGCTACATTTATGTTACAGTTATGGATGTTTCTCCCTCCGGTAAGAGGGCTAGCAAGCTTGATACGCAATTCCCACCCACAAAGTTTCATTCCCAATTGGTAAGACTAAGAGATAATATGGTTTTTCCATCTTTGAATTGCCTGTAAAAAAAAGAAAAATACCATTTTTTTTTGAAGTAACTGTGTTGTTGGTGATGTTTAGTGTTGTAATGGGGATTAACGGGAAAAACAGTCCGTTATAGCCGCAATCGACCATTACCAATTAAATTGTGGCCGTGATTCCGTTTCACACCTTGATTTCAGCTGATATCGGTAACGGGAGCCGCTGATACCACGATATAACAGTCGTTATACCGTTACACGATCGTTTTTTGAATCCCTGGTTTCTATATAAGTTATAGGTGATCGTACAGGAGAAGAAGATTCAACAGGTCTAGGTGGAATCATCAATGATTGAAGCTCTCCTTGCAACATTTCCAACACTTTGCTCATTGATGGTCGATCGGACGGGTACAATTGAATGCACCAAAGGCTCGCTATTATCAGCTTCCTCTTTATTTCTTCTTCCTCATCTGTTACTCCATTAGGATCCAAGTTCATGGAGCGATCAAGATGGCTATAAATCCACGAAGGAAAATATATCTCACTGGTTTGAGACACTCCCACATCGATATTTTTTCTTCCTCCCACCATTTCAAGGACCATCATTCCATAGCTGTACACATCTGATTTATAAGAAACCCCACCGAAGTTTCGACAAACCATTTCTGGTGCAATGTAGCCAATTGTTCCCCTAGCACATGCCATGGAAATAACACTCTCCTTTCTTTCACATAATTTGGACAAACCGAAATCAGAGATCTTCGGACAGAAGTCGTCGTCTAAAAGGACGTTGTGAGGTTTTATGTCGAAGTGCAAGATCCTTGTGTTGCAGCCTTGATGCAAGTATTCGAGTCCTCTGGCGATGCCGACTGCAATGTCATATAATGTTTTCCACTCCAATTGACGTCTTTGGTGGTGCAATACTCGATCGTAAATGAATCGATCGAGCGATCCGTGGGTCATGAATTCATATACCAAAGCTCTTTTTGATCTCTCAAAACAAAAACCAAGTAAAGTCACTATGTTAACATGAGAAGTTCTACAAATGCTGGCCACTTCGTTCATGAAATCCTCCCCATTTCCCTTGGATTCACCTAGGACTTTAACAGCAACAAGACGACCGTCGGGCAATGTTCCCTTATATACAGTACCATATCCTCCTTGACCTAATTTATCTTTAAATTTATTTGTCATTTTCTTGATTTCTCCATAGAAATATCGCCTTGGTGTAAGAGAAACAAACTTATTTATGAATGCCTCAATCTCAGCATTGTCGTTAATCTTCTGCCATTTTTTCCGGAAACATATAATTCCGACTACTAGAAGTATACCGACTATCGCTGCACCGGCTATTCCGAGGCCTGAAGAAAAAGGAAGAGATCGATTAAACTTGGTTCCTGCAATGCTAGAAGTTCTGGGAAACAACGCAATATGTTACTGATGAGGTAGTAGATAATACCTAGACCAAGCTTGACACGGGTGTTATTGTCTCCTGCAATAGTGCAAAATCTCAAAATGTTAGCTAAAATTCAGTGGAACTAGTTCTTTGCAAAAGCCAAAAATAAAAATAGCAAATTGATCCGAATTGTATTCAATTTTTATATGCATGGGATTGGTTTGCTCCAACGGTCATCGTTGGGTCGAGCTCGAAGCTCGAAGCTCGAGTTAGATGACTTAGTAACTCAGTGAGTAGGTGAGAAACACAATGTGATATTGATGGAGCAGGTCAAGCCGGAAGCACGGTGGGTCGCAGTTGGGTGGAGGTGTGAAACGCTGGGAAGAAAACAAATGGGAAACGTTGAAATTGAAAATAGCCTAGAAAGGAAGTTTGAAGCTGAGATGGCGAATGCAAATGAAACAAAAGCAGCTAAAATGATAGCTGTCTAAAATCGACCATGAAATTCAACATCTGAAGCTGTCCAAAAGTGTGAATGGAGGAGGTAAGCAGGATATTTGCGTTTGGGAAAAGCAATGAAGGCGTTTCAGTAATACATGTGTTGGAATGGGTCATTGTCCTTTTGTTTTCCTAACAAGACCGCAAACTAACTTTTAATTTTATTAATTATAGAATTGGATTTTAGTTTTACAATCATTTATATCATTTTTAAACTAGTAATGAGACGATGACATGGTTAATAGTTATTGATATGATCTAAAACATTAAAATGATGTTGTTTTGATATCTAAAACGATATCATTTTAGGCTACTTTAGAGGTATATTGATTTTGTCATTAAATTATTTGATCGGTGTTGACAGTCAATCAATGTCCATCACCGATCGTCTTTCATGAAAAAATCGGTACTAAAACTTCCACATTTCACTATCTTTCTTCTCCTAGGATTAAGTTTCCACAAAACTCACTCAAAAAAAATTAAATTACTCAAAATCAAAAACTTTTTAGTTATTTGAAGACTTTATTAGATTTACGGGATTGGTAGTCTTTGTTTAAAAATCTAAGCAGTGATAAGCATTATTTCGAGAAGAGAAACAACATAACACAAAATTAATCTCATTAGACTATCATTGAAAGAAATTGAAGTATTTGATACATCAAATTTTTTAAAAAAGAATTTTCATCAATTTTGAGTGTGTTTCGTGAAAAACCAATCCTAAGAGAAGAAAAAGAGTGAAATGCAAATGTTTTGGTACCGATGTTATCACAAAAAATTATTGGTGACGGACGGTGATTGATTGTCTACGACAATCGAAAAGTGTAGTGCTAAAAAAATAAATTATTTAATAGTTCAATGGTAGAATCTGATACACCCATGAAAGCAGCTAAAGAGATAGCTGTTCATAATCGACCATGAAATTCAACAGCTGAAGCTGTTGAAAGTGTGAAAAAAGAGGTAAACAGGATACACGTTTTGGGAAAGCAAATGAAGGCGTTTCAATAATCCTATATTGAAATGGGCCATTCTCCTTTTGTTTTCCTAACCAGACCACAACCTGAACTTTTAATTTTATTAATTATAGAATTGAATTTTAGTTTATATTCAATTATGTCATTTCTTAAATCACTAATAAGATGGTAACATGGTTAATAGTTATGATACGACCTCCAACATCAAAATGATGTTGTTTTGGTGCAGTTGTTCTGATTGACATCGTTTTAGACATTAAACTTTAGAGGCATATCGGTTTGTCACTAATTATTTGATTGATGTTGGCAACCAATCAATGTCCATCACCGATCGTCTTCTGTGAAAAAATCAGTACTAGAACTTTCACATTTCACTATCTTTTTTCACTTAAGATTAAGTTTCCACAAAACCCACTCAAAATCAATCAAATTAAACAAAAAAATCAATTATTGTTTAATTGTTTGAAGACTTTCTTAGATTTGTTGAAAATCTAAGCGGTGAGAAGCTTTATTTAAAAAAAACATAAAAATTAATCTCGTTGGACGATCATTGAAAGAGATTGAAATATTGATATATCAAACTTTTAATTCATAAATATTGAGTGTGTTTCGTGGAAAACCAATCATAAGAATAGAAAAAGAGTGAAATGCAAACGTTTTGATACCGATGTTATCACACAAAATTATTGGTGATGGATAGTGATTGATTGTCGACGACGATCAAAAAGTGTAGTGATAAAACAATAAATTATTTAATAGTTAAACGGCATAATCAAATACACCCGCAAAATTTAATGTTTAACATGACGTCGTTTTAGACATTAGAATAGTCATATCAAAACGATGTTGTTTTGGTTTGGCAGATTGTGTTAGCAACTATTAGCCATGTCTTTATCTTGTTATTGAGTTAACTACAAAATGATTTAATTGAATGTAAAACTAAAGTTCAATGTAATAATTGATAAATTAAAAGTTCAAAGGTATAAACAAGTTAATAAACAAAGTTCAATGGCATCAAGTGTCGTTTATCCTAGAAAATATTGTTAGTCAAAGCCAAGATTAACTGCACCTAACACTAAACTGTTTGGCCGGAACAACAATATCTTAATCGGAATTGTTCATCAGTTCACGAGATATTTCAACAGGCGTAACATAGAACGAAGATGTACCTGGAGACCTTTTGGTACAAAGATCGCTTTCTGATTCAGGGCAGTGGTAACATTCAAATTCATCTGTGGTGAGGTTAAACCCGCACTGACCGCCGTCGTTTAAACAAGCATCACACTGGCTATCATTTGCAGACCACTGAAAAAAGAACCCAACTTCCACCGCTTCTTCCAAAGCCCTCGGATTCTGGTTTTCCTCCAAAAACGAAATTTGAGAATTCTGGACTGGAATAATCACACTGTCACTGCACAATCCCAAGTAATCGCCGACGGCAGTTCCCCTGAAGTCCCCTATCGCATAATAAGCTATCATGTTTCTCTCGCTTATTGTGCATTCGAATTGATTGGAAATCTGCGTGTTTGATGTGAGATTTTCTGCAACTGTGGGAGGCTGACAACCATAATACAGGCTTATATACCGAGTATCCGGGGCGTATCGAAAAGGGCTGTTTCCGGAAGTGGAGTTTTGGAAAGCAGTGGGACAATTATTGTCACGGTAATCGGTTCTAGAAACGTTAAGGGTTTTCGAAGTATTGTTTATTTCAAGAACTCGGTATGTAACATTCATGATCGTGATTTCCGGCTCATTATCGTTGCAGTCGATCCGGAATCCAGGGTATCCGCAGCTTTCCGGCCGATCCAATTCCAATCCCCAAAAAGGATAACTGATATTCGAGATGCTTCCACAGCTAGCTAGAAAACTGCAGCTCAAGAAACTGTTGGCAAACACATATTTGGGAGAGAAATTGAAGAGCAAGCTTAGAATGAAGATAAAGAACCACAACTTGAATGGCAACGAAGAGGGATGCATTTTTAGGAGAGAAGAGTTGGAAGAGAATTATTTGAAGTGTTTGTACATAAAATGAAAAACTCAAGATGAATTGGTCTTTGACGAATTCAAAATTTAAAATTTTCCGAAGGAAGTTTCAATCGCAGTTCACGAGTAAGCGTCAGTCAACAGAGAGTTATGTAGCCTGATATATCAGAAGTGTAAACAACTTTAAACTTAGGACTCAGAACTCATAAGGTTTGACTTTAAACTGAGTTCGAGTTTCTTAAAGGCTTGAGGAAAGCGGTAGCGGTAAAATACCAAATGATCTTAACGATTTGAATAATTCAACAATACGGCTTTGGTTGAAAGCATTTCTCGTCAGGCATATGTATTTCTAGAATTGAGGCCTATAGCACTAAAATTCGCTACCAGATTGGCAGCAGACTGCCCTGCCGTTTACCTGGACCTAACCACACAAGAGTCTCGGTATGGTAAGAACTTAAACACAGAGGGACAAGGTGACTTGACATCGGTTAGTCTGGTGTGAATTTCATATCCCCGCGGCATTCAATCATTTCATGGTTGGTAACTCTTGATAACTCCCTACAAAGTCTAGATAGCGCTCCTGGGGATGGATATATTAATTGACGGAAACGTATAATTCCGACTACTAGAAGTATACCAACTATCGCAGCACCGGCTATTCAGAGGCCTGAAGACAAAGGAAGAGATCGATTAAACTTGGTTCCTGCAATGCTAGAAGTTCTGGGAAACAATGCAATATGTTACTAATGAGGTACTAGATAATACCTAGTTCAAGCTTGACACGGGTGTTCTTGTCTCCAGCATTGAATTATTTTTTTAATTTTTGTATATAAATGTAAGAATTGTTGTTTTTTAGGTTAACAATTTTATTGATAGGAACAAATGAGTTGTGACGGTCATAGGTGGTTTACTCTTAATTTAGGTAGAGAATCATAGTTGATGAAAGACTAGTCATTAGCCCGTTTCAAGGTATTATGCCTCATTAGGAGATAGAATATGAGTTAGGGTTCCATTTGAGTTCTATCTCTTCTCTCAATCTTGCATAAGAAATTTTATAATGACTTTTAGTGTCAGTGTCAGTGTCAGTGTCAGATATAAGATTATAATGACCATATGTATGCTAGCAGGCTAGGTGAGTTTGGTCTGTTGGGGATGGATTGAACTCTGTTAGGCCATATAAGTTTATCAAGTGTCATGTCAACAGATCGTTAATTCTCAAAATCATATTTTGGAAATCTTTCTTTTAGAGATATTCTCTTCATCTTTCTCAAAATTCTTGAAAATATTGAATGCTTAAAGTTATTTTTCCGTAATTTAATATAATGTTACAATTATACTCTACCCCTAACACGACTTTTGTTTTTGCCTATGGTATTATCCAACTAGACTCACTTATTTGTTTTTGTAAAGTATAAGAGCAAATGCTGATACATTAAAGTAGTTGAAATAACTCGTTAATTTTCATAAAACAGAGGGATGGAATGAAGAATTAGACCCTTCCAAGTCTGAAGAGAATGGAAATGCAAAATTTCAACATGTAAAGTCTGGGAGTCTACTTAGAAAAGTAAAACGAAGGAGACACTTGAACACGCTTCGAGCCATAAGAACTTGCACTGAACTTTCTCAAAATCCTGGGAATTTTTTTGAGGAATCCAGATGAACCTACTTCAAGCCATTCAAAATTTAAAATTCAGTTCACACTCAATTTAATATCATTTTTTAAAGTTTAATTACACGTGTTCTTTTTCTAATTTAGGAAATACTGGTTTTTGCAATCTTGTTCAACTAATGTAACGAAGTCTTAACATATATATTAAATGTATTGTATTCATCACATTAATCATGTTTAAACGCCCTGCAGTGTTTGCAAAATGTGTAGTTGAAATGCAATGTCACACTTATTATTTTTTAGGGTTAAGTATTTGGTTGGGATATGAAATATACTCGACTTTTCAATATTATAGATATGATTTTTTAAGGTGAAATTATAAATCAATGAAAAATAAAAACCGTTTAACTATGGACAAACAAAAAGATATTTATATTATATAAATTTTCTATAAAATTAAATCAATATATTGGTATGGTTATATGTTATAGGTTGTCTCAAACTATGAGCAAACAAAAAGGACTAGATTCTTTTTTCAAAAAAAAAGATAGTGGTAATATAGAAATTAGTATGTCATCAAAAACTCCAAGGCTTGAGCATCATAGTTGTACTCAATCTCCTCCTAAGTCTACGGTTATTGAGGTTGAAGACGTTAATCTTCTGTTTATAGAATACGATCCTGGGTTACATAAGCCAATGCGGGAATATCTAGTAAATCAATGAGATAAAATTCGACGAGCATACTTGAGAACAAGTCTATATCAAATCTGTCTCTTTAGTTATCTATTTCCTCAAGAAAAACATCGTAGATGTTTTAAATATTCTTGGTTTGCTCAATTTTCTTCTTGGCTCGAGTATACTCCGAGTAAGGATGTTGCATACTGTTTGTCATGTTATCTTTTTACCATGAAATCTAGTAGGCAATGTAACATCCCAAAAGTCGGGACAATGACCAAAATAGAATTTTTGGAAACTTAGTGACCAATCTCAGAAAAGATTGAAAGTTTAGGGACTTAAATGAAAAGTGTTGAGGTTCGATTTAATAACAAAGTTTGAAAGTAATAACGGTATTATGGTTATTTTTTAGGGAAGATTTTTATTTCCCTTTATAAAGGGTAATAAGCACATGGAAAGGAGATAATTTCTCCAGAGCATTCTTCAATCTTCTTCTTCCTCCTCTCCACCGTGAAGTCTTGTATAAGGTAAGTGGGTCTTCAATTAGTTAATTCTTTCGTTTTAAAACTTGTTTTGATTATTGGGATGTTAAGAAAGATTAAGGAAAGCTTTAGGTGGCTTAATACTCAAAGATTAACAAGTTATGAGAAATCAAGAAAAATGAGTTTTTAAGTGAATATTTGAAATAGAAGGAGTTAATAGATTTTGAAGTTGAATTTGACTTGTCAATGGTTAAATTAAGAAATATGAAGTGTTAGAATTGGAATTTGTACATGTTACAAAGTTTGTGTAATTATTGAATTACATATAGAGGATAGAATTTTTAAGTTAAAGATGCGTTGAATAGTATAAATGGGCTTAAGTATGTGTATTTGAGTTTAGCATATGAAGGAGGAGGAAACATGAGGTGTTTGAGGTGAAATGAGGTAATTTTCGTGCTGAAAATATGATTTCTGGGCTAGGGGTATCGGTACCCATTCAGCAGGTATCGATACCCTCTCAAACGAAAAGAATCACATAATGTTATGAGGGTACCGATACCCTAGTTAGGTACCGATACCCTCTTGAACGAAAACTAATAGAATGCAGTAAGGGTACCGATACCTCAAGGGGTGTATCGATACCCCCTAAAGGAAAAAGTGAATTATAGTTCAATAAATTAGTTTAAGTTATTAGCATCGAATTATAAGGTTTAGGCTTCTAATAATCGTCTCGGAAATTATATTTATGTAGATATTGAGCCTAAACAAGTTCTAGAACATTTGACAAGTAAGATCGATCAAGGGAAAGATGAGAGATCGATATTAACTTAGTGAGGCCAAGGTGGGTGCATCTTATTTTATAGGACTATAAGAAAATTGGACTTGTGATAAGTCTATTTCCGATAGTTATTTTATTATGCAAGAAGTATTGATTATAAGCATGTGAGTGACATGAAATGTATGTATGATTGATTATATGAGCTGGTATGTTCTTTTATGTGCTATATAATTTATGTGAGTATAAAGGATAAGTTATATGATAAGATCTACGTGATATAGGGAAATGAAAAGATATGTCTATTAAGAGTCATAAGAGAACAAACATAAATCATATGATAATGGGAATATATGATTATGAGATAAAATACGTAAAAATAAGAGAATATGATGAAAGTGAATCTATGAGAAACGATAGAAATTAAGTAATTATGTGTAAAAGTTATATGAATAACAGAAATATGAGTTGGACAAGTACATAGTGGTATAATTAATTATGATAATTAGTTTAATAGAGTTACATGATTTAATGTGAATTGAAGGAAACTAAATAAGATTGAGTTATAGAATGAAATGAGAATAGTGTATCAATTAGGAAACTTAAATATAAAGTGATGACATGAACAAATAAAATATGTTAAATAGCAAAGACTTATAGGACAATATGAGAATAGTATGCAAATTAGGAGACATTGATAGAAGTGACTATATGAACATGTAAGATAAATTATGTGGTAAAGATTTATAGGCTTAAATGAAATTAAAATAAATAAGGTATATGGTAAAGATCTATAAAGCCATAGGAAGATATTATAGGAGCTTTTGATGATAATTTATTAGAAGACTTGCATAGGTGATAAGTTATGTGAAACTGAACTAAGTAAATATATGAAATCAATATATAAATGATATGAGATAAGGTATTATATGAACCTGGTGTATGTTATAAGATGTGATCTATGTGATTACCGGAGAAAGGATAATAGCTATATGAGTATATATACATGTGAATTTTATGGAAATAAACTACGTGACTAAGTGTGATCTTATGAAATGTGATAATGAGCTATGTAAAAGAATTATGAGATTATGCGCATAAGTGCTTATGTAATAAAGTGAAATAAGTTCCATGATATTGAAGTATGTAAATATAATATATGTGATATATGTGATGTATGGGAAACATATGAAAACAAGAGATGACAATGATTTACATGTCATATGAACATAAGAGAAATGATATAAGTTATATGATAGATGATATGTGAACGTATTCAAATGACATATGTTATATGATATGAAATGGATGATCATATGCACATGTGATATGTGATAGAAGAAATTATATGAGTACATGAATATATGAAGTATAAGAAAAATGTCCATGTTATATGATACGAGAGCTATAGGTATAGTTGGCATGCCAAGAGTCGAGGGTCTACGCGGTCCTTCGGGATATATCCAATATAAAGAGGTCCTTCGGGACAT